CTTAAGACAGTTAGAACATCTCCTAAACAAAAAGTAGAGAAGTTAACAACTTACAATTTTCAGTGCAAACATGATGCATAGTAGCAGAATATATAACAACTAGACTTATATATTTCCACACTATTTCCATGCTGACTTCACAACAAAAACTAGTTTAACTTTTTATCTAAATTCATGAGCCTATGCTTTTGATCAGATAACTCTTCACTCTCTGTGTACCAATAAAACATTTTCAGTAAGACGTCAAGCTTATTAGAAGAAAATTATCTGTTTTGTTGAACCAATTAGTTGCTTACCTTAGCAACTAATGAAACCAGATGTAATTCTTTGAAATTAGTCTTTAGATCTAATCACTTAAAAATGTATTATAGTGAAACACGGCACAGCAGTGCGTTTCCATTAAATCATTAACGAGAGCATAAAGGTTGCAATCCCATTGGCCTAGGGTAACGTTGGATTTCAGTGGGTGGTAAAAGTCAGTGGGTTGGTTGTTACATGTACTCTATTGAACATTAAAACTTATATTTAACGTGGCTGTTCGGAATCATAAATATAACCATAGAGTCATAGCAGGCATTCATGTTTTTTTTAAAATAATTATTATTATTTTAGGCTGCTACGAACAAGAGGAAACAGTCATTAAGAAACTGTAGGTAAGCAGTAGCTTTTACTGCGAAGGAATGAGAATTCCGAGCTAAACAATGCGCATGCCCACTTATCAAAGAACGTCTCCGAATATCTATGAAAACACATAGACCATGGGTTGAGGCTCCAAAATCGCTTAGTTTACAAATTCTGTGACCCACCGATCCGCGCTACTTGGCATTCGCACAAAAATGTCAATACTATTTTATTGAAACATTGTCGGCAATCGTAAACTTGGGGAAACTGTAACCAAAAATGAGAATTTATCTTCGAAAAAATAATGTCGCTCACGTAAGCAGTACCCAATCACAGCACACTTACCATACCTGTTAAGCATTGATGAGACGCTATTAGCCAATCACAAAAGTTCTTGTAAACTCGGTAACTAATGTAAACAAGAAAGTATAATACATACTCCAAATATTGATAATACTTGGAGTATGTATTATACTTTCTTATCTGAGATTAATCAGTGGACCTTTCGGTTAATGTAAACAATGTCGCGAGGAAAGTGACAATGTGTAGCAATTTGGACGAAAGTTCTCCGGTTTTAGTGGAATATTTCAATATGATATATTACTGACATATTATGTTGGTTCTAAATAGCAGCAAGTTTGGTAAAGTGGAGTTTTAAATCATGTCAGGGTGACAGGTTTTTACTTCAGGACAGGGACGTAGCCAGGATTTTGAAAGGGGTGGGGGGAGCCGTTATGCGAATTACGTATGACCCCAGAGGGGCCAAGGGGGCGAATCCCCCTGTGAAGTAGCGCAATCTGAACGTTCTTAGGACAGTTTGAGAGGATAAAGTGAAAATTGCAATAGACGCATTATAAATAAGCGAAAAATTAATTGTATAATAAATCAACAGTGGCAGATTCAGAGATTCAGAGAGGTGAAACAGGGACTCAGGGAGGGACTTTCACAGATCGAGGAACCACCCACCTCAGCCCCACCATGGTTGGGGCTGAGGTAAGGAAATTTATGATTAGGTCATCTCTAGATGGCCGGAAATTACACTCTCGCACTTCAATTTGAATATATTTTTCGTTTATTTTCCTTTAAAAATGAAAGGGGGGGGGGCGTGCCTTGAATCCACCTCTGCTCAAAACATCCTTTATCCAGAATAGTCATAATCACGAAAAATGGACATGAAAAACCAGATCACATCCTAAAAACAAATAGCAGTCACTAAGACATACATCAGGAGCCGACTCGATGGAGTTTAATGTCATACCCAGTGAAGGGCACAGATCTGTTTTGAAAGGTGGAGGGGGAGGGCATTTTGTAAGTCGACACCCACCCAGCCCTATAATGGTTGGAGCTGAGGTGAGAAAATTTGAGGAAATAGTACCCCTAGATGGCCAGAAATGACACTTTTAGTAAAATTCATCATCATCACATCACCATTAGTCAAAAAGAAGCGCCAAAAGAAATTCTCATGATCTTTTATCAGGGATTTTTGACAACCATAGAGATCTTATTAATGTGTGTGTATACACCATAGAAAACAAAGCTTAAAAAGATTGTCTTTAAGTATGTACTTTACATAGGCCTACTTCAAAAACGTGATTTCACAACCACCTGAGCCCCACCATGGCTGGGGCTGAGGGGAGAAAATTTGAGGAAATAGTACCCCTCGAAATGGCCGGAAATAACACTTTTATATAGTAAAATTCATCATCATCACATTACCATTATACTCAAAATGAAACGCCAACAAATTTCTCATGATCTTTTATCAGGGATCTACTTAATATCCAGGATAATTTAGGCCTCATTATAGCTTACTAAGCTTTAACTATATATACTATAATATGATAAACAAATCACAACTTTTTTTCGCATTTAGCATAATTTTCTTCACTTTTTATTGTTATTAATATTAATATCAATTATTACTATTGTCATCATCATCATTGTTATTATTATTATTATTATTATTATTATAATTATAATTATTATTATTACTATTCGTAGTAGTGTTATTAAACAAACATTTAAAGAAACTTGCAAAAGGATAAAAATGAAATTGAACCACAGTATCGCATTTCTATCTTAAAAGACCTGGCCTGAGATTTATGGATTTAAGATTTTTTTAAATCACGCTTAGGCTTATGTGTTCTATTAGTCCTATGTATAACGTGTACTGATGCATATTTACATGTTTAGAAGTATATATTTTAAGTGATCCCAGGAAAGAATTTGTATTGGCTCAAGAATAAGCTTTAAAATTTCAACACTGTATACAAAAGGGGGGAGCCTCGGCTCTCATGGCTCCCCCACCCCCTGGATACGTCCCTGCTTCAGGATCAGTTAACGCCACTCTCTAAGCCACAACAATAAGACTATACATAGAGTATTGCGTGTGTATGTCTTGTGAAGGGATATGCGCAATTTATTAACCTGATTAAGCTCGCTGATTGACATAGCCTTGGCCTTCGGCTAAAACAAAAAAACAAAAAAATAAAATAAAAAATAAATAGAAAAAAAAAATTGCAGGAGACATACATAAAGTTCCAGTTCAGTAACAGGCTATGTTAACTTTTTAAAATGTCGATTAGTGGTAGATAGTAGGCTTGTTCAATTTGTTTAGTAGAATATCAAAGCGTCTAGATCATTATGTTTTTGTACTAGTGCATCTTACTCGAAGTAGAGATTTGGCTAACAATACAGATTTACGGGTTCTCAAGAAAAACATTTAATAACTATAGCAGTCACCCCACTGAATGCATACCTCTGCCCTTTGCCTGATGCCCTTTGCCTGAATACAGTACCAACTATACGTAGGGCGTGTATGATGGGCAAAACTCAAGCAAACCCTCAATGAAATAATAAAACCTGAATAGCAGCAAGTTAGATGAAGTGGAGTTAGTTTGGTGGTTAAGAATACTAGATGCAATTGTCTTCCAATTCCATGGTTGGGGCTGAGGTAAAAAAAAATAGGGTTTGTCACCTCTAGATGGCTGAAAATGCATTTGGTCAACTGTCTCTGGTTTAAAAAATGATTCTAAGTAATTTTCCCCATCAGACATTATTGCAACTTCCTGACCGGTAGACCAAGCATCTCCCTAGACCAGCTATCCCCTAGGATTGGGCCGGGCTGGTCCACTCACTAGCTCAACCCCTGCATAGATGGCGCCCATACTAAGGACCAGTAAATGAATTAAAATTTCTTATTAAAAAAAAAGTAGTTACAAGACACAGATATTTGTTTTTAAAATGAAGATGATTTTCGTAGGTCGTCCATAGTAAAGGGAAAGCTGAAGAAATGATGTTAAAAAATGCATTTGTATATAGGCCTAATGTATATATA